GTGGTTGTGGGTGTGTGTGTGTGTGTGTGTGTGTGTGTGTGTGTGTGTGTATACACATTTGTATGTGTGCAAGTGCAGTCTGGTTGAGGGTGTGTGTTGCCATGTATGTTTTGTGCGCATGTGAACATGTATGTATGCGAGTGTGTGTTTATTCATGCATACTACAATTACGTGCGTGTGCGTATTTATCTATTTTTGTTCCACGCGTGAGTTACTGCATGTGGTATGCAAAGGGGTGAGCACATTCCTTCTTGGTTTCTTTGTGATCTTGTTGACGTGTCACAACAAAAACGCTGGCTGCTGCCGTGAGCCGACACTCACGGCACATCATTCCTGCAATCCCAACTAGCTTCCGATCCGGCGGCGCTTTGACATACGAGTCATTCGGTGACCACGCTCACAAATCGGAATCCTCGTAACTGTGTATGAAAGGAATTCGAAAGCGTTCTCCCGTTGGCAGCCGCGGCAAACTTGCGACACACGTCGCCACGCTTGTCCTGCCGAGAACGCGAGCAGGATTCAAAACAACGCCCCGTTGAGATGTTTCATTTCCTCTTAGTACAGCTGTACGATCTAGCTGAGTACTGTAACATTTTGTCTGTCTATATGTGTTGCTGCACTACTTGTGTTCAATTCGAAGGATTTTGTATTGGCTGCCAGCTTGTGTAATCGTATGTGAGCAAATCGACAATACTCAACTCTTAAGACGCCCAGACCACACGGATGCTAATCACTTCTTATGTTAGCATTAGCTTTAAGCTAACAGACTAAACATTTGTTTGACCACGCTTTCAATTCTTATCGCTCATTCATGAATGAACAGATTTATCATTCGCAGCTCATTTTAGAGTCAATTTCGACCGGGAGTGGCAAGAAACAGCTTTGGAAGCTTTTCGAATTCCCTCCAAAAGCGGCAGCACAAGGCTCTCGTCAAGAAAAAAGAATCGGCCGGCCCGACATCGGCTCATATCTCGACCAGCTCCAAAGCGGGCTCACTCTCGTCTCAAGTCGCAAACAATTGGTACATGAAATACACGGCGCCCGGTCAAGTTGTCGTGTGCGTGCTTGTGGCGAGCTAACTCTGATGCTAAGTTTTGGCCAAACATTGTTTGGGAGGGAAAAAAAGAAAATCAAGTTGCAATTTGATTATGGGCAGTGAACAGCTGAGTCACGAGTTAAGTGTTTATATGAGGGAGGACCGGGTCAAAATTGAAATCAATCGAAAAGTAGGGCAGCGGGCCACAGGAAAATTGAGCTTCTGCCGTACGAGAAGGCGCAACGGCTTTGCCAACGCAAACTTGGAAGAAACGCTCCCTCCTGCTATGCCTCGAGTGACACCATTTAGCTGGTTTGCGCTGTGAGTGGGGCTGGAGGCGCCTCGCCGAACACACACATGCACACACACAGCAAAAGGGGGCGCCGGGCAGCGTGACCCTGCCCAACCCGGAGCGTGCGTCCCGCTGGCTTCCTGGCGCACGCTTGACCGGAGGGCGGAGGAGGCGCCGCTGGGCGCTAATCCTGTTAAAGAGCAGAGAGAGAGAGAGCATTACGCCGCTTGAGCGCTCCGATCCGTGAGTCCGCTCGCCTCGCGGCGACGCCGCTCACCTCTGCCACTGTAGGAAGCGTCGCTGCGGAAAAACAGGCCGCGGCTTCGCTGAAGCTGTTCCTCAACCTGTTGCTCAAAGTTGGCCAATGACGTCGCCGTAGTGGGATGCTGGGAACTGCGGAATCGTCGCTTGGCCGATACACCGACATGACTCAAATTGAGTGGCCATCTCGGCCCCCCCAAAAAAATCAGTATTCATCGATGAATCACAAAATCATTGATTTTCCAAAAACTTGCTCAAAGTCACCAAATAGGTTTCGAAAGTAAAGAAGTGTTAGTTGGCCTCCATGCACGGCCCTCAAACTTGCTTGGCTGATGACTTTCTTGGAGGTGGGCGTGTCCTCACACAGCTGCACATTGCATGAAAAATGTGTGTGTGTGTGTGTGTGTGTGTGTGTGTGTGTAGGAGAGAGCAGTGGGGTTAGGGCACCCTGGTGCTGTTTTTTTGTTGGATGATTGACAGCTTCAGAAACCCACCCAACTGGCAATGGAGTGCTAGTCTCACACACACACACACACACACACACACACGCACACACACACACACACGCACACACACACAACTAAAAGAGTTGACAAAGTGTGTGTGTTGTCATGCATGAGCTCCTGAAATGAGAAGAATAGAATGATGGACAGGATCGGTGGGGTGTGAGGGGGGCGGGGCTAGGTTTGATTGACACATCGGCGTATCGGCCGAAAGCTTTTCCAGTGCTCAGCTGATGAGGTCTTTCAAAAGGCGTGACTCGGCGTGGGGGTTCAAAGGTCGCCGACAGCTTTCTGTAGCCGACGGCACAAATGGACTCGTGACCCCCCGTTGAGGTGGGCGTGGCCGCGCCGCTGAGCCATCACATCGAGCCGTCTTCACCATTTCCGCAGGGTTCTTCCGGACTCCACTTTCAAGACATGGCGTGAGAACGGACGGCAGAGAATGGCAAAGGGCCACGCTGGGGTCTTCATCGGCGGATGGATGCCAACGCCGTTTGGTGACTGGCGCCGTTTGGACTCTTTTTTGGCGGCTTTGCGTCACGCAGTCAAGCCGAAACCTGCTCCGCTCACGCGTGGTCCGATTCCTGTTTTTCCATCAATGGTTCCCCGTCCTCGGCTTCTTGTGCAATTCCCCACGTTGAGAGTGTTGGCAATAGCTTGGCTCGTCAAGAATTCGATCAACTTCTGGTCAGAAAAAGGGTCATGGAACTCTTCCTCCTCCTGACTTTGCGGGAGCTGCGCCGCATTATGTCGCCACAAACAAAATGACGATGCGAGTGACAATCGTGAGGTTAGATAGCAAACGGATGCTTGGCTGAAGTGGCGGCGACCAGTCAGCCGGAACGAGACGTCCGTGCAGCAGATCTTGGATGAATTCCACTGCTTCGTCAGTTTTCTGGCATCACCGACGGCTTTCGAGAAAGCCGGTGGGGGAAGACGACGTCATCACAGTCGTTCTCTTTTGGAAAGGCTTCAAAGCGGAGGGTTCTCAAAAGGGAAAGGAATTGATTCGAAGAAACTCTCGGGGTTGGGGGGAGCGTAGCATGTGTGTGTGGGCGTGTGGGCGTGCCGCACATAAGTCACAACGGCAGCTTGCTTCCGACTGTACGTCATGATGAATGAGAGGGCGGGACACACACACACACCATTGCAGGTGTAACTTGACGAACCACTTTCATTTTTTTTTTTCCCCCATGAAAAAGCGCAATTCACTCCCCCCCCCCATTGGAGTGAATCTGACACAGCCCTTAAAAGACAAAAATAAAACTCTTGAATCAAGAAACGTGTTTGTCCAACATGGATTGCACTGCCTTTTTTTTTTGCATTTGAAAAAATGTGACCACACCCCAAAAAACTTGCTAGCGGACTGATGAGCTCATCTTGGGACACTTTGCCGTCATTGTGCTGCACGGATGGCAACAATAGCGCAGGTGGACTGCACCTTGCATCGATTGCGCTGCCTGTCACGGAAGATGGACCGATACACCCACGCGTAATTAGATGATTGACAGCGGAGCGCTGGAGTCCAATCAAAACATGACAAACCTTCACAGGGTGCGCCTGAGACAGAATACGCTCACGTACAGGAAGAGGACTGACTCACTCAACCGTGCGTGCACAACAGGTGGTCTCCACGGGCGTCTTCGGGGCAACAGGGACGCTCTTCCTTCCACTCGGGACACTTCCTCTCTCCTTTGTTTACTCCCGCACGAGAGTAAATGCAGACATCCCGACACGCAGGTGGGCAGCGAGTGGTCATTTCCTCACGGCAGGCACGCGCGCCCCGAGGCGCTTCGGTGTCGGCGCGTGACAGACACCACCGGACAAAAAAGTGAGTTCCACCCGAGCGGGCGCTCAAGTCGCTCAACGAGCGGCCAAGAGCTCTCGCTCATCGGCTGACACCCACGTCACTCACCCGACCAGTGAAAGCCATACGCACTCCGTGTCACAGATACGACAGTACAACAAAGCGGTGACCCCAAGTGGGCAAAAATGACACCAACACCTCACAGGCACATTGAACAAGGCGACATCCTTTTTTTTTTTTTTTTTTTTTTTTTAATCCACTGACTCAATCAATGGATTTAATGCAAAAATCAAGAAACACGCCTCTTCATGGCCATCGCGATGGAGCTCAACTGCTTTGTAACTCCTGGTCGGTTCCCGTCTTTATGACGACGGGGCCGAATTTGAGGACGTTGCTCCGCAAGCAGCATCGGGGACGACGCCGACCTGTTTTGTTTCGCACAAAGCCCAAGTCTCCGAGCTGGGAGTCGGGCACCTTCCGGCTCGGAGAACAAGCGCGTCTTTGAGAAGCCGGAGCCCAGAGGAACAGTTGCGCCTTCCCGGCGCAGGTCGCGACCTCGGGCCGCGGCCCGAACACGATCCGTCCGTCCGGCGGGGCCGCGAGGGAGCTCGGCCTGAAAGGGAAGGAAGCGCCCCGCCGCCCC